TGGTAGGTTATAGTTATTATATTAATTTTGAATTTACAACCAGGTCGCTTTTATTTGAAAATGGGACAGAAATATCACAGTTTGGTGATTTTAATTTTAACCGCTTTCGATTTTGTATACACTTGGAGTCTGGATCGGAGAACGGGTTAAAAAAGTTACTAGTCACGTGACAATCGATTGTATAGTAATTAATCATCATCCGAGAATTTTGATATAAAGTACGGTAATATGGTGATAGCCTGAGGTCCCCAGGTATTATATATATATGAGTATAACTATATGAAAATAATCGATGTTTGAGTTTCTATACTCATAGGCCTTTACCATTTACATTCAGCTAAGATTACTAATCTTAGTATTAAAACACTATTTTTCGAGCTTATCATAGTATCATCTAGAAGATAAACAAAATCGTAATATTATAGAGCAAGGCCAGAGTGTTGCCTAGCTACACCTGGTTACTAAACGTTTACATATGCTAAAAAATCTCGCTGATCGACCTTACAAGATCTATAAATAGTTGTATCACGTTGTGCCCCCATTTTCCATTGTCGTTTCACTAAGTGCAAAGTGGCCACGATACAGCCGCGCACTCGTACAATACATATTGCGCGGGGTTTGCACTTTGCGGGATTCTTTGTTACGCTACGTACTAGTAGTATAGTAGTAGTATAAGTAGTACCGCGGTGCTAATAGTAATAAATAATCGTTTAAAACTACTAATGCTATGCGACGGAATTACTAAATTACAAAATTAAGCTTACAGTTCGTGATGCGGCTTATTGTTGATGCTGGATTTTTTTTACAAAACATAACTTTGATTTATCATCGGAGCTGCAGCTGATATAGGTGTCCCTTTTGTATTTTCAGAACTGCATTCAATTACATATTGCATAATAATTTTGTTCCTGAACCATGTGTCAGTGCTTCTGTTATTAATGAAGCCGAAAGTTCAAACGTTCAGTATATACATATTTTACTGGGCGGCGCTCAGCCTGTCATTCCGCCGAATCTTTATGTTTCTGAACATAATAGCCTGGGGTCCTCAGGTAAATACATATTATGATACGATAATATAGGTATTACTAGTGTAACCCGTGCCTTCGGCCGGAATTTCACTGCCGCAGTTAAACAGGGTAGGAGTATTTACGGATGATGATTAATCACTCTACACTCGACTGGCACGTGACTTTTTCAACCCGTTCTCTAGCTGGTCCTGAACGACTATTCGAAAGCCTAATCCTTTAATCTGATCCCAACCCTAACCCTAACCCAATCCTTTAAAAAATCATATGCTGAAACCCTAACCCTAACGAGAAATTAGACTAACTTCCTTATACGGTCATATCACGTGATCGCATTTTAACCCTTATATCATAGGGGGTGAATCGGAATCAGCGTCCGAAAATACATCGAATGAAGTTGGTTTCGACTGTCGGGGGCCCTTTTAGAACAATCTCGAAGATCGACTGTAGACTTAGAGTGATTTAGCACGCTCAGTATTTACGGTTACCCGCTGAGTCAAAACCCGCATTAGGTGATGTGAACAATTAATATATTCGGAGTGCCCTCAGATCACGTATCCAATAGTATCTGTACCACGACAATTACACCTCATCACTCCCGTCTTAAACCGCTTTAAATCGTTTTAGAAATTAACCCTTATTAAATCCGCACCACACCCACCGTATATTTGAAAACATGCATTACATTTACATTGTCGTATGAAAGTAAACAAACAAACTGCAATGAGTGGCTCCCCCCCTTATAGCTTATAGTATTACACGCATAAACATTGTCGTATGAAAGTATGAATTCTCTCTACAGTTCAAACAGACCGCAATCAGTGCCCTACACTCCTATTCCTAATATCACTTGCGGAGCTAACCTAATTACCAACGCTACATAATATGCAGTAATGGAAGAGAGAGAGCGAATAGGAAGAAAAAGTGAACCATTTTAATGGCTCACTCCATAATGTTGCATTAATGGTACAAAACCATCAATCAAGCCACTTACCATCGGCCGATTTAAAAAAAATGTCCAGCAATATTTGTATCATTTATGCTGTAAACTTTGCATAATCGGTTTAACACGGAATCGCTGTATTTCTCAGTTTTTAGCATTTCCATCATGCAATAATTCAACTTTAATAGTCCTATACTTACAATTTACATTAATACATCTCTTAGCTCTCAGTATGTAGTATTTTCCGTTTATAGCGGTACTAAAGGGTGTTATACACAATCCGTTAATATCAGTATCACAAAGTCAAAAAACATGAACACGAATGTCGAATATTTTTGGATTTGACAAAATCCTCGAACCAGTGGTAGTGCTGGTAGTAAGTCATACCAGAAAGAATTATTTCAATTGGACACTCAGTGACTGAGCTATTAAGACCAACGTTTGCACACTGACTTTTATCCCACCCTGTAGCACTAAAGCAATGTCTGATGTCATTGCTAATCATAGACATAATGCTACAGTGTAGCATTATGTCTTGCTCTAACCAGAGCCCTCTCGCTTGCAGTCAGCAGTAGTGCGCGACCGCCGAAGGCGGCAAAGGAGTATATTCTACTTGTGAAACAAGCGCGTCACGCAGTACGCGTATACACAAGGCTATGTGAACATTATGTCTATTAGTATTATTAGCAATGACATTGCACTAGTGCTAATATTTACATCATTTTAGCAATTATTACATTATCTTAACAATTTAATTAACAGGTGTTTCATGAGGCCCTCGACAACCATTTTCCAATAGAAGCGCAGCAGTCGGTTCTTTTATAATACACGGGCCACATTGGCAGTCTGCTTATTCATAGATATTAGATACTTGTTACTCGGACTATCAGACGCAGACGCCCTTCCTTTGCTGGTTTAATGATAATTATAGTAACATACGTTAGTTAATAAATCTGTCTACTTTGCACTTGTAATTTGTTTTGTAATCACCCAGGTTCACACAGCTGTTGTAGGATTAGTCGGTGACTGTCCTGGTAGATTATAAAAAGCAGCTGTAATTCGCTTGTTTTTCAGACTGGTAATCGAAATCGTTAATTAATTTGTGTCGATAAGTTTAGTCGTTGTTATAACAACGACTAAACTTATAAAGTTAAAAGTGTTTTATTTACCATACCGTTATTTAGTTGTTAATGATCGATGTCACATTTAGAATTAGAATAGTTTTAAGAATGTGATCAGGATCTGACTTCTGAGTACATAATAATATGTTCTGCTGCCACCAGGACAAATACTGCTAATCACTGGACATTATATCACAAAAACTGTGTTTGAAGGAGCCATATGGCCATATACTGTCAGTTTAGACTTTAGTGGTTCTTTTACAGTTAGTTAAGTCCTTCTGATTTCTTTTGGAGTTGCAGTCGCTATGACATTTTTCATCATTCATACAAATCACTTGTTGCTTGTTCTACTTAACTGAACTCTTGCTATATTTGTGTAACTATTTTGACCATAACATTGATCCCAGTTGTAGCACAAATACGATGACAGATGATGTTGAAAGATACTGCATCTGCGTTTGGGCTGTTTTGACGACGATTCTATCAGTAGCAGGAAACGTCACAGTTCTCATTGCTACAATCAAATATGATGCCATAAAGATCGACAACATGTCCAAGGTTAGACATCATCTCCGCGGTCCGCCTGCATTTACCTTGAGTCCCTTCTTCTTATCTTACAATGGAAGCATGATTTTTCACTGTTCGTGCCAAAAAGATCAGTTTTGAGGAAATTGTCTTTCGCTTTAAATTTAAGTTCAACATTGCATTACATTAAATGATATATTGACACCGTTTCCCTCCCCAGGTCCTGGTGCAGAACATAGCAGTAGCAGATCTGGGTTACACTCTGTTCATCATTATACCCACCATCTTCACAACCACCACCATGACCGATACCTGGACACTCGGTGACTCACGTGCCGTGCTATCGGTGTTGTGCAATTCTTATTCGGGATCGGGAACATCATCATGATCTGTGCTTTAAATGTCTGCAAACTTACATGTCTACTGTCACCATTTGCAAGTAGACTCCGTTCAGTCAAGTCAGGGTACATTCTGGTGTCTTTCCTTTGGTTTCTGTCACTGTTATATCCAATCCAGATGATAATACTGGACAGAGAAATAGGTTATCAGCCGGAGATCTACCGGTGTATGACGGGGGCTAGAGATGGTACCATATGGGAGATCTTAGAAACTATAAACAGTGGAACCTTCATGTTGATACCTCTACTTGTAATCGTGATCACGGCTATCTGGTTAATGATCATCATCTGCCGAGTTACAACTTCAAACCGACAAGGAGTTTGGGTTGTTCTGACGGTTTCTACTGTCTTTATCATATCGTGGACCCCACTGCTATCTTACAACGTTTTTCATTTGTTTTCGTATCCTACTGACACTCATTACAAGATTGGAGTGTTCTTCATTTTCATCAATGCAGCGTCCAATCCTTTGCTATACCTCCTTACGAGCAAAAGTTTTCAGGAATTTCTCCGCAAGAAGGTTTTAGGACGTTCTGAAGTCACAAAGAAGTCCGCAATCTCTTGTAATCCATCGCGTTACAAAAAACAAAATATAACACGGTCAACTCTTGCAACAAGGGAAATTAGTGACACGATTAGTATCAGTAACCCAGCTCACACAAGCTCACAGATTTGATAATATGTATTTGGACCACAGCTATGACTATGAGAAAGGCACAGCTATGACTATGAGAAAAGCGCTTTCATTTCAAGATGGATAACGTGCTCCTTACGAGATAAAATTAGTTCCATTTAAATTTAAGAGTTCTGATTTCTGACCCATCGGCATATCAGTTTCGTTTGACACACGCTGTATGCCTCTTTTCACGCGGCCTCCTAAGAAAAGATAAGAGGTATACTAATACAACGTGTAGCAAAATTTCATTGGGTCTGAGCTTTAGAGGTGACAGCAATTATTTTACTTATGACTTTTAAAAAGAAGACAGAATTTTCAAAACTTAAATAAAAATAAAAATTGTATTTAAGATCATTACTGCATCAATAAATCAATGTTGTCATTTCATTATCAAATTCTAAGAGAACTATTTTTGAAAACTGAATTCAACTAGTTGAACTTTAAATTAAATGATCCAAGTCAGAATATTTTATATTTAATGGCTGAGATAAACCACGTGATAGTAGCAGCTTAAATAACTTAAATGGTAATCGAAATCATTAATTTACTGACTTATCTGCTCATTTTAACAATTATTTTAATTGTTCTTCGGCTTGCACCAGTAAACAGAGAATATGAAATATATACCGCATTACCGCATTATTACCGCATTAAAAGTATTTTAACGTGAATGCCTGCATCAAATTCATATAACGATACAAACCTGGAATGACTTCAGTCAAAATATAGCTAAACAACATATAAAAATCAGTAATCATCAATTGATCACCGTAAATGAAACCATGACATAAATCAACATAAAAATTGCTGCATAAAAAGAGCAACAATAATTTACAAGGGAACTACTCCGCAAGCAATGCATTAAATATGATAACAAATCAGCTCATCCATAACCCATATCTAGAAAAAGTAGTGATGCTGTTGTTGTGAAAACGCTGTGGCGTATTTAAACGCTGTGAGGTCACTTATACAGTCCATATCATCTTGCCATCGCACGACTTTAGTTCTCATTTCTAGCCCAGACTGATTCCTTCTCCGTCCTCCTGGAACCCCCTCGCAGCTGTAATTTAGCTGAGTTTCCTGACGAGTACCATATGATAATATCCTATTCGTCACCTGTGTACGTTTCAGTTAACTTGGATCTGTAAGCCTGGATGTCAAGTATCAGCTCCTCGTTTCTTTCGTCGTTCACGGTCTCAGGCATCTCATCATTCTTACCGTACACCTGAGAAAATGTTATGTTATGTAATGTTGTTGGGTTGTTGCTATGGTAACCATGAGTTGCAGTCATGGTAACAAGGTATGCGGTATTAGTGTGGGTACATGGCGTCAATATGTCAGTTATTAGAGCATCCCCGGTCATGAACCCCAACAATATTGTCATATCATTATAATGTGTGGTGAGCATGAGTTGTAACTGAAGGCTAAGAGAGATGATTGATCAGTGTCTGGTCCTGAATAAGATTACCAACAACATCACGCGGGAGATGCTGTCAGGATAGCAGTTTTATTTCTGAGGAAACTAGGCAGGTTCTGAGGAAACTGTTGAAGTTCAATCATTGGTAATGGTTATAGAAAGCTGCCTACAGCTAGCCTTGCCGCAAATAAATTCACGTTCACAAAATTTGTTAATCGATGTTAGATGTTATCCTAGAGATTCTTCATCATATCATGAATTTGTCTTGCAATCTTCATTCGACCATTAATAGTTTCTTAAACACGTGAATAACCACCCAGTAGGAGTTTCTAGATACTAATCTGTGAAGAGTGTAGATCATAAAGCATGATGATTGATCATTCTAGATTAAAGTTAATGTCATAGTCACAGCTCCTGATATACTTAAACATATTCAGTGTAAGAACTAGGAGTAAAACTGACTGATTATGGACCGATATGATGGATATGATACTTGATGCATGGATATTGGACAACGGGGGGCTTGATATTGCTTCACAAGAAATTATGATCCCATAAAAGAGTGGAGGCGGAATGTCGTTAACTAACATACGATATTATAAAGGAGTACGAGGAACGTGTGATTAAACTGGGGTTCTCCAGAAACTCTCGTCATTGTCACTGAATGACACAGGAATTCGAAACAAACGTTTCCGATCCGAATTCCAGGACAAGCGCTTGTTATGACTTTATAACTTAAGATAAAAGAATTAATCCGAAAATTCACACAAACCTGTGATGAAATCTTCCGTCGGTTTTCTCCTATCAAATACCGCTTATAAAACTCAATAAAATCGTCCATGGTGATCTCCTCAAGAGCTGCCACTTTCTTTTCTCTCCGAACAAAGTCTCGTGTCGGTGAGAAAATCTCTCTGTTGAACTGGGTGTTCTTTTCTGAAGAGAAATGAAAATTAATCATCTTATAAAGTTATAAAAGCTAGAGTTGAAATATTTGGAACAGTTTCTGATGGTTATTATAATGGTACAATGAAATATGTATTGACGTCTGTCCACAGAGGTTGGGTGTCAGTGTTGACTATGTCGGTTGTTCAGTCAGATACTTAGCCAAATACCAGCAGAGTGCTTAGTACCTTGTTTAGCGCATTCTTGGGGGAGTTTCCACCAAGTACGGATAAGTTTAAACATACATGTAATCCAGTGTATAGGAGATGGAAACAGTGAATAAATCTATATCAGTTTTCAATAAAAATGTATGACGTTATAAAATACCTGATAAACTAATCGGTTTTTCCTCGATTTGTTTTCTTAGAGCGACCTTAATGTCAGCCCACAGCTGTAAACCTGCATCAGATTTGCTCTGTTCAAGGAATTTGTTGTATTGAAGATCAACGAAAATATCGTGCCTGAAATAATGGAACACAATTAAGCGATATAAAATAACAATATGGATTACCTCGTTATTTATTTCTGTATGTAAAACGGGATGTTAAGCAGAGGGCAAATAAAAGCAATCATTAGTCGACTGGTGATTCATGTCTTAACTCTCAGTGTTACAATATCATCACATACGGTTCTTAATGAATGGAACAAGATAAGAACATACTGTTCTTTATGAATAGAATAAGATAAGAACATACTGTTCTTTATGAATAGAATAAGATAAGAACATACTGTTCTTTATGAATAAAATAAGATAAGAACATACTGTTCTTTATGAATAGAATAAGATAAGAACATATTGTTCTTTATGAATAGAATAAGATAATAACTTACTGCTCAGCGATAACGTAAGCCCCAGCGTCCTCTCTAGATCCCTGAACCAAGATGTTGAACACCATGATATTCTTAAACTCCTCCTCAAAACAGCTGGCAACATATCCCAACTGTTGTTGGGTCCTGAGATAGTTGAAACAAGGTTCTCTCATCATTAGTCCGAGTAAGGTAGCCAGAACGAATCTAGTGTAGGGCAACCTGTCCGTGTAAGGACCATTTGACTCAACAGGTCCAATCTGAGAATTTATATTATTAGCATGAATGAAATAGTAATTAGGGTGCACTTAGCCAGGAGGGGCACTTAATTATAATTAAATTAAGTTAAATTGGGACTAATATTGGTCCCATACATCAGATAGACCTTGTATTATTGGATAATAAAAGGCGGGAGATTTATAGCCCGTGGCTCACTACAAGTATAAGTTCAGAACAATAAATCTCACCTGGAACAGAGACAGAACTCCAGAGTTGGGTTCCTCCGGGTTCTCAACCTTCTGTCTGACTACCAGGGTCTTGTTTTGAGGTAGTTTGAAGATTGGGTGAACGAAGGCGTCCAGCCTGTTTTCCTTCACAATCGTTGAGCCAGCCCCTGGTGGTTAAATGACGTTCAGGAGAATGTTAAGATTATACTGCGTTCTAATTGGGTAAAGAAACTGAGACCAGCGAACAAAGGGCTTTCTTAAGTAAACATACAATTGTTAACGATGGTTCAATGATAAGATGTGACAGGATCTCTCATAATGTTCATAAATTTGATAAGAATACTCCCACTAAAAAGCAGGAAGTTATGATCCGGATCTATTTTAATTTGAAGAGAATAGGATCTAACCCGCACCCGTAACAAGCTTGTTCTTCAGTATCTCAGAATATTCTGCTGACTGCTGTTCAATAACATTTCCCATAATCGAGCAGTCAATAGAGATATCTTTTAGGAAGTCGTCTCGCAGGTTCCTGATGTCTGATTGCGCGAGGGAGTCTAATTCCGCCAAGTTTTCTGAGTAGGAGAATATGTACTGGTCTTGAATCATCCTGGTGAGGTTGCGTCAGTTAATTTACTTTGCAGAACAGCAAAAATAAATAAATATTAAGCTTTTGTATATACACATAATCGTATTTCCTGCGACATTTAAAATGTTGCCACGTTAAAAATATTCGGCAGAAGCCGAACTGTAAATCTCGGATAAAATTTGAAATGGGATAAACTGTGTTAAAAAAGGGTTAAAAAGGTTGAAAAGGTGTATTCACTGGCAGAGTCATACCTGGCATATCGTAAACTGAGCTGAGCAGGCATCCAGTTCTTAACGTTCAGATATTCCTTCCTGATTGGTTCCCGGATGGTCGCGTTAAAGTGCTCCTCGTTTTGATCAAAATCAAGTTGGAACAACGAGTCCAGGCCGCTCTCTATTACTTTTTTCACCTGAGTAATAAAGGGCGATTAATTATTAGGTCAACAAAGAAGTTAGCACATATTGATCCTTAGTCCTTACTAATCATAATTACGGCTTGAAAACTTTGTAGTAACCGCACTTTAATGTTCGTCCTTGGAAAACTGCTATAAATTATAATTCATACTAAACAAGTCTGAAAGGACCTTTGAGTCTATCTACTTTCTAAAGCAAATGAATTGTAGAATAGAGTTGGAATTACAGAGGAGTGTCATCTAAGCCTTCCTTTTGTTTTCTGAAGAACAAAAAACATAAACGAGATGAATGTTTAAAAAGTCGCTTTTACTTTTGGGCTTCTCCTATGCATATTCCATGCCAAAACATTCTGAATCTAGCAGTAGATTTGTGAGATTTAGACATTATTCTGTACAAAAGATGCAGATATAAGAAGATTGACACCTACTCAGACTTTTTAAACTTTTAGTTCGTTCGTTTCGCTATAATCCATATAAAATGTAGACTGTTAAGTTTTTACTGTATTAGACCCCGATGCATATAAAGCTTTTTTCCCAAAAATCACCACTTTTAGTTTTAGAAGACATGAAAGTTTAGAAGATTTTAAAAGATTTAAAACTCCCCTTTGAAAGTTTGAATACTGTTTACCTGCATTGTAAGACATCCTCACAATTTAGACCTGTCCGTACCGACAACTATAAGTTTTCAAAACCTTAAAGTTGTCCGTGCGGCCGGGCCTTAGAATCCTTTAATTTACAGTGGGCACAGGGCTGATTTCGTATAATTCTGATACAATTGGGAGCTGCTGTAATAAGCTTCATGTAGGTGCTATTATCACACTTGCTCTCAAGACTCAAGACTCAATCTTTAGATGATCACTCGATGAAGACTGTCCAACAATGATTTACCATATTAGCTCAATTGTTGCAAAGGGGTGAAACTTGAAAGATTTAAGATTACAATTGTGCATAAAATTTAATTATTATTGCTATTCAGAATGCACTGGGTTATAGATTTATAACCACTCAATTCTCATCACGAACTGAAAGCAAACTATTTGACCGAAATTAGTTTTTAAAAACGTTGAGAAAGATGGCCTTAACATTGCAATTAGGTTTTACCAGCGATCTGCGAGAACAAGCATGGATTCAACCTATTTTTCTGTACTAAATTTTCTGGATGTTCATGCATTTGTTTGACACATTTTGTTTGCAGTCAAGGAGGTGGTCCGCAGATTGCATGATGACCATGAAGAAGCATACTTCTAAACTTCTCAATAGGTTCAAATACGATTAATGTAGGTAGGAAACTATGGAAACTATAGTCCATTTATTCTGAATACACATCATCAGGCGATCTGCGAATGAAATAAATTGCTTGGTATGTAAACCTGTACCCCTGGAACGATTTCACATGTTAAACATTCTGATAGAGGCTGAAGACTTGGAAATTTAGACACTATTTTACAATTCATTCTAGAGTTTGACACATACTCAGACTAAGATTATATTTAAAGTTCTTTCCGTTAATCCATATAAATTTTTTGCTTGATGCCTGTGTTTACGAACCGACTGTAAACAGTTTTTACAAAAAATTGGTCACTTGAAAGGAATTAACTAAAGGCAATTCCCACTTTGATGATCGAGCTGCTGAAGACCTTCAGTTCTAAAATTGTTTTAAAAATCTTGAAATGATACGCACGCTTCGAATTCCAGAATACTATTTGACGAACCTTCCAACAAGTAGAGGTTTGAGAGAAAGTAACAATTTGTTCGAGACTTTGCAGTGCCTGAGTGCCAGTAACACCACATTTTTAGTATCCATAGACACATGTCAAATGGCTTTAATTGTTCACGAATCACCTAATCGTGCTAATACCCAATTCTTGATTCTAACACAGCAGAACACGGCAATTATGATCGACCGGGCTACATCTCTACAAGTCTCTACGAAGATATTTCAGTATTTTATATTAATCGACAACATTGTAATCCTCCTTGCAGTTATTGGTGATAACAGGTCATTAATAAATGAGGCTATTAACTAGTGATTTAACAAGTCAATTACTCTCGTCCTATTATCCACTCATAATAAAATAATAGGACTAACTTAATTCACTATAATGGTAGTGGTACAGTTATAATGTCCCGAAATTCCCGCAATTTCATACGGTTAACACAGATACACACTGATACAGCACTGTTATTAAAGGAGGTCACATTGTCCATTGTCTAGCACAGCAGAGGACGGCAATTATGATCGACTGGAGGGACATTCGAAATGTCCATTGTAAATATACTACTCTTAGAGTCTTAGAGACTATAAGATTGGAGACAATCGCAGAATGCTTGCAGTACCTGGGGGTCGGCTTACAATAAAAGCGCTCTTCTTATTTTAAGCAATGGATGATAAGAGATACTAAATAATTGGCATGGAAGAAAAGTAAGTTTTCTTCGATCTGTCCAGTAAATGTTTTTATTAAAAAGAGAAATGTTATCAAATTTAATCCTCACAAACGAAAGTTACCTTTTCAGCGTCGGAGAACCCGGAGAGGGTCATGATCCAGAAGTCATCAAAAAGAAAACCTATATCATAGTCAACTGATACAGCGGGGTAGAGAGATTCAGAGGTCTCACGCAGGTAGGTACCTGATAAAGTAGCGTTTAGAGACCTGATCTGGCAATTATCTATTTTAGATTACGTTCTTCAATTATGTATAGACAGAATATTTCGAAGAGAAGGCGAATGGTGAATCATAATTAATGCATCTATCCATAAACCAAACAAATCCGGCTTTAAAATTCATTTTGTCAGAAAATTTTAATTCTAATCCAGTCCAAAGATACCATAGATTTTCTGTAACAGTCTCAAATGTATATACAAAGAAGTATAGGGTGATTCAAAAATAATGTTTGGATTTAAGAAATGATAAACATTTCTGAAGGAGCAAATTTATAATAACATAAACCCGCCACGCAAAGGGTTTATATAACAGATCATCCCGCGCTAGCGGGATGATCTGATAAACACATACGAGTGCGCGCAGCGCACGAGTTTTGTGTTAATATGTAATCCCGAAGCGCCAGCTGAGGGATTACATTTATTTAGCCCTGAGCGTGAAGTGTTTATGGATTATAATTATCTCCGGCGATTTCGACAAGGGATTTATACTTTAGAAGAGAGTGATAAAATAATTTTTATTTCGGAATACGGGTCTGATTTTAGTAATATTTTCATTTCTATTTGTCAAAGTCATTGAAGTCACGAGCAAATCTGGATGACTGAAGCCAAGAATTAAATTTGTTTAGAGCCCAGTTGTTGACTCTAACTGTACTGTCCGGAACACGATTGGAAAGCAGTTCATCAATCTGAATGTCAAACCGATCTGTCATAGTGGAGCAATAGCTTGAACGTTAGCAGGAACAAGAGCTGGAAGGAGAGCAAGCAAAACAATACTATTTTTAGGGCACGGACAAGGGTAGCTGGCTAGTCGCCAACTTCTCACGCCACGCGTTGGAGAAATTCCAAGAATTAGCTGCTTTGGCAACGTTCCCAGGAATTTGCGTGTAAAAGAAGTGGACGGTTACGATGTTTCATATCACGTGGTGCGCTTTCGTGTCACGTGGTATAGACTCGGCGTATGCTATTGGTGGCACGTGGTACGCACGTGACGCGCCCACGTGATCGCGCGTCTAACTGTTCTACTATTATCGAGTTCTAATCAGCAGTATCATTGATTATTGTAAGTCGGAGAATTGAATGATAAACATCAGTTACGACTAAAAAGCGGGCCGGGTTTATACAAATTTCCGGGGCGGGATGATATCACCTTGAGATGTTTATCTAACAGCGGGCCGGGCTGAGTGATAATATGATCCCGCGTCGAAATCCCGGAGATATTTATAAGTTAATAATTAGTACTAACTAATTTAACTCTTTCGAATCGAAAGTTAATTAATTTTTTCAGTCCCATGGACTGGTTTTTATTTTTGACAATGATGATATTCATTATATATAACCTGTAATACTATTCTGTATATATCTAATTTCGTTTTCCAAAAAATAATTAGTACTAACTAGAGAGCATCTCAGATAACAGGCCGTTCTTAACTGAAGGAGTAGCAGGTTTGGGTTGTATCCTACAGCCCATGTAGAGCTTGGGCTGGTTAAACTCTTTATCCTGATACCACCAGACTGTCATATCAGACACTGTAGTAGGAGATTGTTAACTGGCCGTGAACTATCATGCTATTTATAGCAGAGTTATAAGTGCCCTACTTATACCAGCAATTATCAGCTGGTTTAAGGTTGTTTAAGGTTCATTAACTAAAACTTTGCTGTTGGAATACTTTATAGATTATTAAAATTATCAACGGTGATCTATGATATGAATCATGCCTCTCATCAATTACCACAGGATATTTCCTGAACTTTTTGTACGTGCATATTATCCACATTCTCCTACCTTCAGTGGCGTTAACAGTCACAGGCAAAGCTTTACCCTCGTACTCTTTTATATTAAAATCATCAGGTATAAAGGGGTTAGTCTCAGGAAGATACAAATCCTCGTTCAGTTCCACCGTCTCCCAGTTGGTAATATCCGCTTCGTCTATCTGGAGGTTTTCGTACGGCGTGCTGTACCATGTCTCTTTCTGCGAGAGGAATTAGTTATGAGCTAATAGTAATGGACGAGCAACCCCGTGATGCCCATATAAGGAGCGGACTAGTCACGTCATGCCCATATAAGGAGTGGACTAGTAATACGGGTATTATGGAGTTGTTCGAGGAGACGGGTGTCAACTGTCAATGTTTGATTATTATATTGTTGCGGACGTTTTGTGTCCGTGAGAATGGAAAGACAAAAGTTGTACTCAGATAAGTAACACCTTCCTTATTATCATTAAAGGAACAAAACATGCCTCTAATTTTTATCGAATGCAGGAAACCATAAATCGAGCAGAAACCTTAGGTATCTGAGTTATTTTTGAAGCTTTACGCGAGCAAGTTTTTCCTGGGTCTAAATACTTTTACATTTTATTTTCGAGAAACTTCTCTACCATACATACACTTCTTCCAATATAAGTATTGAGGGAACGAAGAATTTTATCTTACTTATTGAACAAATATTACGTAGATAAGTATTGCACTAACGGAGTAATAAGGTCATACCTTCAAAAGTAAAGGTCATTTCATAAGGTCATAAATCATAATGGTAACATCATAAAATTTACAAAACAAAAAGCTGAGAAATGGCTGTCTCAAAGCCGACGATAGTAATTATGTAAGAGTACCAGAATGGCGATGGTGATGACTCCTAGTAAGCAGAGCAAAGAAAACAAAGGGGTTTAGAAATCGTAGGTCTCGTCTTTTTGACAACTTAATTACGGCCATATAGCTACATGATGAGCCCGAGTAAGATCGAACAAAGAAGAAAACTTCGCCTTCATTTTCAATCAGACGCAACATATCCCAGATCCCAGTTCATTTTGTAACGGAGTTTTAACGAAGGAAACGATGTAACAGAGTTGATTATCAACTTGATATATTTTAATGTTGCCATGGGGTGGCAAGTCCCCATACATCGTGGTCCGGTAGTTTCATTGCGTCCTAATATAAGTGCGGTGGGTGCAGAATCGCACAATTGACCTAATACCACATTTTCTCGCACCATTGGCCGATGTGCGTTCTGTCAGATTTGTTCACTTTGTAGTTTGTACTGCTGTGTACAATGACAAAAGATTACAATCCGTCGACAGATTGAAATAGAGTCAATTAAGTAACATTAATTAGATAATATAATTTGCAGGCATTTTAGCTTGTACACACACAGTGTAGGAATCTAATGTTGTAATATTACATTATTGCATACCCTGTCTCAATTATGCTCATCGCCAGCTCAACTAAGCCCAGTCATCCTACCCATCTAATTGTAAAAGTTTCTATGAGAGTAATTGTAGAATTCTAGAAATCCAGCCTGAGAGTACCTAAAGGCTGCAAATTTTTCCTCCAAATTTACCGCACAACTATTACGCACTACTTGCAAACTTTACCGCAGCTATACGTTGCGTCTGTTTTCAATGTTAATTTTCTACCCTCTAAAACTAATTAAGAGTTGATATTAAAGGAAGAAGCTAGGCTCACCTGGGTCAGCTGAGGACCGTACTTATTAGCCATCTCAGTGGACAATTTGAGAGAACTAATGTACATGTTGAAGTTATCAGGGGTGATGTGGGCCATGATCCTCTCCTCCAACGACTGATTGTAGATCCGTCTGGAAGGGGGGTCGAGGAAGTCTCGAGGGTCGGTAACTCTAGCCATGTGGGCTGATATCGTGCTGAAGAGAAATGGTGGTTACAAGTGATGTTAGACGGTAGTGGGCGTGGTTGTGATATCAAAAAGCTGGTAATTTACTATGACTAATAGTTGTAAGAATAAATATCGAAGTTGGGGTTTCGAAAAACCTAGTTATCGAAAGATATTCGACGCTGCCCTTCTTTGATTATCTAAACTTCAAAAGTTCAAAGTTCAAAAGCACAGGTGTCACTCCAGTTTAAAATCCTAAACTGGGTAAGCCGACTTTTTGAGCAAAATACCGCTTCTGTTTCGGGTCACTTTGTATCGGTGTTAGCTTGAACTTCCAGCGTTCCGTTATTGTTTTCAGAAACTAACTTCCACAGCTCAAGATCCATCCTATGGATCAAAGCTTGTTCCAATCTGCAAACCAGGTTTGATGCTACTTACACAGTTACACTGTCAAACTATATCCTCGTTAAGCCTAAACATCACATCGATAATGTAGTTAGGGACATTAAGCATGAATATCGAACCTTCTGGGAAATGATTTAGCATTTCTGTGCAGGAATGTGTTTTCCATAGTCCCAGGCATTAGTCACCACCCCAAAGAGTTGTAATGGTGGATCTGATGGGCACAAGTACTAGTAGCTAGAGCATATATTATCCTGGCGCCCTAATAACAACTTGAAAGATTTGTTTTTGCCGTTAGAATGCGCTCAGGAGCCTAGTAGGGTGTGCAAAATGACCGCCATGGTCACATTATGGCAGGCATGGTCACATTATGGCAGGCGAATAAGGGTTTTAAAGTGGTGTGACCATCACGAGATATTTTAGGGGAGAATTGAAAATTGCTGGGACTATGAACAACATATTTCTGCACAGAAATGCTTATGCCAAATCAGTTCCCAGAAAATTATGTGTCAGTTTAAAAACCTTATTTTTACCCTCTTCTTGACAATTAAATCTTAATTCTTCCGGACATCTACCAGGAGTTACCTATCTGATATCTCGGCCGACTGGAATGTAGCTAACATACAGTGGAATGGATATACCAACATTCCGCCCTCCTCCTTAGAGCGAAGGTTATGTTTATAGCATCGTAATAAGTTAATAAAGGCATAATTCGTTAATCTACTTTAGGATTTCAACACCCTTATGCCGTCCAGTAAAATTTTAACTAACAGATAAAAAAGTGAAAATAGCGATAGAGAATGCGTCACTATTGTCGTATTCTCTATCCAATCTTCCCAATTCTGAATTCATAGCCAAAACATACCCATCTCATTTACCATTTTCTTTAGAACGGAGTAGTGGAGCACACATGGATAAGTGGTCTAAGATAGTATTTGTATCGCGATCAACACAAGACAGCTACACTGTGTACCTCCCTCTGACACACGAGGGAGACTGAGGTAGCACGAGGGAGTTATTAAGTAATAAATCAGACCGGACTCACTAAAGGAGGGGAGGTGGTGATAAGTCGAGGAGGAGAGGAGAAGAGGAGGAGAGGGGGAGAGGGGGAGAGGGGGAGAGGAGGAGACTGATCCCTCCCTGTAGTTTGGGAAAGTGCCCTGCTTATAACATGCTTAATAAGGAGGAGTGCACAACTTTCATCTCACAATATTCGCTTTATAAGGCAGAGCAGGACATTTATCCCTCGACATTCGACAAATATTTGTCTTGTTACAGTTATGGGCGACGGGTAAAATATTTAAACAATTGCTGATTGAATCTCAACAACAGCAACTAAGTGTCTGGCCTGAGTCTTTGTATCTTTATTAATAGTAAAACAGTAAGTTGTTAAAAATCTGACTGCTGGAAATCAATGTACTTGATCTCTTGCGGTCAATACGTATCACTGATCGAAAGATGTAATAAAATGCAGAAAAAGTTGTGATTAATATCTAACCCTTCGATATATATTCGAGTGTTTTAACAAACCTAGCATAGGTAGCTGGATCCTCCTTCTCCTTAAACTTGAACTTAAGTTCATCAATCTGCTTATTTTCCTTCCAAAGCTGTTCATTAACCCCATTTGCTTTCACCCTCTTCACAAACTGGAACAAGGCCCGCACAATATCCTTAGGCTTGGTTAATCCTGAAATATTATCATCAGTTAGTCTGCATGATCAGCTAGCCTGCAATGTCATCTAGTCTTCATTTTCAACTAGTCTATTATATCAGCTAGTCTGCATTGTCCAGCTAGTCTGCAATATCAGCTAGTCTGCGCTTGTCTGCATAGTATGATGCTAGCAAGGCTCTCCTGGCAGCTAACAATTAAGGTCAACCTATGACACGACCAGTGACAGAAAATGATCTAAAAAGTGTCAACAATATGTCATCTCATAAGTGGGTCTTGAGTCATGGCTTTTACTAGAATCCTCGACAACTGTTATACGGATTTACAGAGCCCACAATACGATTTTAGAGAGCCCAAAACACAAGTTTCAGAGGCGTACCTTTTTCGGTTAGATCGCAGGACACGCTGACCAGGACGAAGTTCTGAGCTTCGGTGGAGATAGCGGACATAAGTGAGGTGACGTAGCCCCGGGTTGAGAGGTACTGGTACAGGGAACCTTTACCTTCGTAACCCATCAGGTAGGTTAGGTAGCTGAGGTTAGGGTACTGAAACAGTGTTAGTCAGGGTTCTGAAATAGTGTTAGTTAGGTTATTGAAACAGTGTTAGTTAGGTTACTAAAACAGTGTTAGTTAGGTTATTGAAACAGTGTTAGTTAGGTTACTAAAACAGTGTTAGTTAGGTTATTGAAACAGTGTTAGTTAGGTTACTAAAACAGCGTTAGTTAGGTTATTGAAACAGTGTTAGTTAGGTTACTAAAACAGTGTTAGTTAGGTTATTGAAACAGTGTTTGTGAAGGGCTGGGTTATGATCGGTTTAGGATGCTGACACATTGATAACTAAAAGCGAGGGTTTTTTATCGAGATTAGAGTTATATATAGGATTAGCGCTATATATAGGTCGAGGCTAGTGTACGTGAATAGTTCTTCCGATTTAACCATCAACACTTCCTCCCTTCAGGGTAGTGGCGAGGAGAAATCATAATATGTTCAGGAGCTATCATAGCTGTTATTTTCAAGTTTGTATTAGAATGATAACATAAGTTTAGGAAATCTGAAATAGTGTACCTTAGTAAGGGTTACATTTACGATTTAAACATCAACACTTCATGGAAAAGAAGAAAAGAAATCATAATATGTTCAGGAGCTATCATAGCTGTGCTCAGTAAATGTTATCACCAAGCTTGCAACAGAATGATAACAGAACTTTAAGGAATACGAAGCCTCCTTACGTCAGATATACATTAATAAGTTCGATGCTTATTTTTCTCAAAATTTAACAATCAACACTATTGACTTCATAGTGGGAGAAAGGTAAAATCATTGTACATTCAGGAGCTATCTTAGCTCTGTGCTTAACAATTATTAATGTATGACGACAATTTTTTTACTATAAGTAATACTTAATACTCACGTCAGAAATATTAATAGGGAATATAAGTTTGATGCTATCCTTGTCTGATTTGGGTTGATAGTAGATGGCCCGAGAGATGTACCTCTTGTCACCAGGAGGGAATGGAAGCTGGTTAAACACTGAAAATAAGTTGAATGTTGAGTTTCAGAAAGTTGTAGGTTCAGTGTCTCTTATTAGAATTATAATTCTTAGTTTGAGGTTGATTTGGAAGCTTAAATCTCAAAAAAATTATAAGAATTTATGTAAATTTTGGCAAAAGTTTAGTTAGGGAGAGATCTTGTAGGTGTTGTCTCGGAAGAATGTTGGTGAAATATAAATTTTCTGGGGAAGCCCGATCAAATAGTAAACCGAGATATTGGCGATTTTGTCAAATTTTGGAGAGACTCTCCGGCTCGGACATATGTCTCATGCAGGGGGTAAATAATTAGATTACACTATTTGTTGCATGATGCTTATTACAAATATAGTAATCTAATAAAATATTCTTTAAAATGTCAATGTTTTGCAAATTTACACCTTATAGAAACTTGCTTTAGGTATTTGATAAAACAATCAAAATGTGGCCGCCAAATGCGTAGCAACGGTAAGTTTTGCTGAGAAACTGAAAAATATCTTTGAATGTCATATACTCATAAAAAGCTGTTACTTTGAAGTCATATAAAGTTTGCTTACTTAACATAGCAAATCTAACAAACCGATCGCTTCACTTTCGCAACAATTCAAAATATGTTGAAATATCGCAAAAAAAGAAAGTCTTGTTTTGAAAAATCACCTGGTTTTGTTTTTTCTTTGTTAGGGATAGCAGTAAAGATTTCTTCAGCCCATTCCTGGAGGGTATCCAAAGTCTCATTACCAATTATCGCAACTGTTATCTGAAAGACAAACACATTTTTTACATACTTTTCCTTCATTTTGTGCACTCACTATTTTTTTCTAAACGTTTTCACGAACTATTTTTACATTTCCAGCACACCTTGACAAGGAATTAAACCTCGAATCCACGACTTCTCAACACAGAGTAATCGGAATTACAGAACCTCATCAACGACGTTAAACGTTGCGTTTGATTTATGACAGCAGTAATGGTGATGTGTGGGAAAACGCTAACTCCAGCTAACAAACTGCAGTTCAAACCATCACATTACTAAAACTGGTACAGAAAACAAATTATCCCCAGAAATATTTATAATTAGCTCATTCAAAGTTGGTGAGAAATGGGACCACGTATTGAACCAACGCTGTGATTTTGACCGTGAAGTATCTGACTTGCCTTCACAAGTCTATAGGTCTAGGAAGCACGTTGTAAAAGGGGGGTGGCCACAATGTTTTTTGTCCTTTTTTGTCCCTTGATAGTGGCCACCCCCGTTGTAAATACTCCAGATTCCCACTTCACCTTAACTCGCTACTTTCAACACCGTCAACTTTAAAACATTAACTTCACAAAGTTCGCTTAAGTTTAAACGCCAAGACTGGATCAGTCAGATGTAGAGCCAAGTTTTAGTCTCGGAGAAACTGGGCCATACCGAATAGTCTCTTGGATATATAACCAGCAGTCTCCAGTTTAAAAAGTAAATAAACCTACAGACTTGTACCATCAACATAAGTATAATGATTTTAAGATCATATGTTGGTTTCTAGGAAACCTGCTGTAGTTGCTATGGTTACTTACCAAGTTAGCGCTATAGTAACGGTCGTAAAAGTCCCACAATCTGTCCTGGATGTCTGTCCTGTTCAGAGTTGAGATACTTCCTGTTGAAAACCTGAAGAGAACGGGTATTAATAACAATTCAATCGGTTTGACCCCCTGAATTGGTTGTTACAAAGATTGTTGCCCGAAATATTCAGTTCCAGACATCCCTAAATAAAATATAATATTACCAGGAACCCGTTGCCCAAATTTACCAAATTTCCAATGACCTTCTACGTGCAGCACAATGCCCGATACCTAAGTTATCAAAGCAAATTTAATTGCGTTAACGAGAGACCCACTAATAACATAGTGACAATACGTCTAACAAGTCACAATATTACTGCTCCTAATTTTGCTCCCAGAAACAAGATGTTAATCCTGTCTCCATTAAGAGACAGCCCCAGCACCAGCCGCTTACTGACAGAAGTCTACCTCCACGACAATAGCTATTTGCCAAATTTCATTGCTTGTCAGCTAATAATAAATAGTCTGAGAACAATGACGTCTCTGCGTTGCTGGATTATTGCCGGGATCTCATATATCATATTTCTAACTAAGAGGGAGGAAAATTGTCGCATTAACCACAGCACGACGCACGGAGTGGACAAATTTAGTGGGAATTTAGCGGGAATTTAGCGGTTAATATTAGTATACGCGGGAGGGATAGTCAGGCGAAAATTATAAGTGTGCTGACGCAAGCTGGTTGATGAGGCAGGCCAGGCGATAACCAGGTATTAATGTTCTCTCGACTCTGCTAACAAGTTTCAAGACCCGTTTATGGAACATTGCCGCGGTTTAACAAGCTTGTCCTGATAATAAAATTGTTGTTCCCGGCATATTGAAAGTAGTTGTTGCACTCAAGTTAATAGGTTATCATGGTTGGCGGATGTCGAGTGATATGTGGGTTGGACTGTGGGCAACTGTAACTATATCATCATGGATTCTTCAGAAGTATTTCTTCAGAACTGTTTCTCCCTGAGAGCTGCAGATGTGTTACTGTTATGCTGAATGACGTGAATTAGCCCAGTTACTCGTGAGGGGCTTCCCAGGTAAATTAGTAACTAGCGTTCTTTGGTACCACATAAGATATGCAGAGTTTAGACTTTAAAGGTATATTTGGGGTCTTAAAAACAATAACCTCCGCCCCCTGCTAGTCTGAATGATTAAAACTTTCCACTCTGAGTACTTTAAATATCAATTATGAATGTTAAAGAATATTATTATCGTGCCAGTGCCCTGGATCTATTCTTATACCCAAACATTAATTGTATGTACTATAATTTAAAATTAAAGAAAGAAAGAAGGCTCGGGTTAGGCAAATTATATTATAGGAGAGAAGGTTTGGTGAGCCTTCTTCTATAAGGGGGGCAATATCCAAGAAGCCTACCCACTAAGGGTAAGCAAGATAGACATTAGGATAGACAATTTTAATTTAGGTTTTACTAACTTAGGGTCGTATTCAGGACGTGCAGGTAACAGGTCCCAGTAACTCTCATACACCTCACCCTTAATTGTCTCTAGCTCAAAGCTCTTTAAATCTTTGGGAACTGACGTGTGACCGAAGCCATAATTCCGGCTGAAGATCTCCAGAAGTTCCCGCAGATGAGAGTTTGGTATTGAGATGTCGACTTGCGATACGCAAGAACCAACATTATAACTGAAGGTCCCTCCACTTCTGTGGATAAGACCGAAAAAATCAGAGGTGTTGGCGTTTCTCCTGTAGAAACTCTCGTAGGGTAATCTATCAAAGAGAAGTTTAATTATCCCAGAAATGTTCAGTAAATGGTCGTCAATCCACCCCAATTGAAATGATACTGATATGTACGTCCTTGGTAAGTCTGGTTTCCTAAGAAATGCGTACCTCATGTACGAGCGTATGTGCTTGAGGACACGGAATGTGTAATTGTTCGAATCGTTATAATTCGTCATAAAATCTGTATAGTCTCTGATATAAATGGGTACGGACTCTGGCATTCTGCCAGCCCCGGGAACGGAAAGTAACGCAATAGCAAGAGCGATGAGAAGAACAACCCCAACTGTCCCCACACAGGTGCCGTTTATTGCGCAACACAAACATTCCACCTCTGATGCAGCTGTCACTCTCTTGTCTACTGACTTCTGCTTCTGATATAACTCCTCCATCTTCTTTATGTTTTTCGCTTTCTTCGACGAAACTTTCGCAGCTTTTTTCCCTGTTTTTACGGGTTTGGAGTTTGATTTCTGATAGTGGTTCACGACGGGTTGAACTGACATATCGAAAGATTCCTCCATGATAGCCAAACTTTTTGGGTTTGGGCGAAACAGCACCTCCTGAGGAACCAGCTTGTCGGATTCCAAAATATTTCTCTGTTTAAGATCCTCTTCTTCGCAAATGCTGAGCGGCCTTCCGGTCATCATCTGAAGATTCTGATCCCAGTTAGAATTTTCCTTTTCTTTCATTTCATGCCCACTCGCGCCTGGAGCCGGGCAAGTGCTGTCTCGTTACTGTTATACAATCTGATCGAGAAGATTCTGAATTAAGGAGGCATATTATAACAGAATATTATGTGTATATACTTTGGCGGGGCACATATTCGGCACAAGGCACAACTAATCAAAACAGGAGAGCTACGCACAATAATAACCAAGTACAACATACACTAAATTTCTCAGTTAGCGACAACTCTCACGCGCGGCAGGTAACGCAGTTCTCTCGTCAGAGAGTGTGCAGCTTCTGCTGCTGGCCGTGAGGGCTGAACGTACACTTGGAAACTATACTTCTGTAATATACTAATATAGCACTACAATGTACCCCTAGTTAGCCTGATTAATTACAAGAACAATTCAACTAATTAGGTGATGCCACCAGTCCCATCATCATACAGAGGAACAGCAAGCAATAGATCTTAATTCAACGATCCAGAGTGATTCGTTCAATCATCAAAGATTAAACGCTCAGTAAAACGTACAGCTTGTAAACCTGTGGGCGCTAATGAGATAGAGAGAGGGAGGAGACAAAACGAAACGTTCAGTCTAGTACGAAGCAGCTAAAAACCAACTATTATCTCGACAAAACGAGGCACTCAAATGTTAAAACAAGCACAATATGTCGAGTAATTTTACGTAGAGGTTAGATATACACGGAGTTCTCGTACGGTGTCATTAGCGGGGAGTAATACTGCCATATAGTTTTCTCTCAGCCTTGTTATTATGGTAAGGGTACACCGAATGCCGGGTCTGTTGCTACGCCATGACAGATGTATATCTGTCAGATTATATCTTGTCATCTGGGAACGGGTAACTTCATTGAGATCAGCATTCCGGACAGAAAGCATCACCCCAAAAGGATTTCCTCCGGTTCAGACGTGGACGTCTTTTTGATAGGTACATTATTATATTCGGCGTTGGTCGAAGGTATAGCTCAACCCGTACAAGTGGGAGTGTCTTGACATATAATTGTTTAACAGAGTTGTTCGGGTACTAGTCCGGGTCCTAGCACCTGCCTGGTGGGTGTAGTGATGAAAACGGTAGTCTTCTTTGTTTAAAAGATATTTTTTATATTCATGGTTAATGTTGTGGGGTTAAAAACCCGTGTCCACGTACTGTTCGGGTATTGACTGAGAACCTGGGTGGTTCAGGGTGGGGTTCAGGGAAAATATGTCTGATTTAGAATATGTTTAATATCCACTTTCTATCTCAAATCGACGTTAATTTAACTAGCTCCCACGACTTAACAACGGTGTTCATGACGTCACTAAACGCATCATGACATCACTTAAGCGATTATGACGTCATCATCACTGTTGAAACAAAGTTAATGATTAGATAACGAAAGGAACTTTAAAAACAAGGGGAACACACCCAATTTGTTATTGGAACCAAGTGCGATAGTAAATAACAAACACGATTGTGCCGAGTGAACATGGCTCATGACGAGTAAGCAGCGTACGACGGAATGTGGTGATGTGTTTAAATGAGAAATATGCGTTCAGAGCTCGAATTAAAAGTAGTTTATTAACTTAATTCACGTCTGAAAATCATGGGTAGTATACTTGGGCTACTATAAACCTACAAAGAAACTTGCTTACAAAGTTTCAATGGTCGGAATACTCAACAAACATTAAGTTTACAGTGAAAGTGAATATTAGCATTTTATTCAATTCCGGAGAAAATTTTAGAATACTTAGCATATGGTTATTCTGTTCGCTACAAAGCCAAAGTGGAACCACGAAAAATTGCATCTATTTTAAATGATCGTGCGGGAATGTAAAATTTACAAACGTCAATTTCATTGGGGAAGCGGAATAGTGACTCGCATATGGTTGTGAAACATGAAGTGCTATTTACGAATAAATAACAAAGTACTTTTATGACGGAAGATGTTAGACGACAAGATATAAAGTGCCATAGAAATGCGGCAATTCGGTAACTCGATCTTGGTGTACGCACTATCGAAAGCAAGTCTGAGACATTTATATAGGTTTTTAATGCATTAATTGGAAACCATTAACTTTAGCACATGATACGTAAACATATGAGAAATACGTAAATATACGAGAAAGCAGCTCTACTCTTGAATAATTAGTGTTTGTCAAATGAAGTGTCAAATCATTTTCTGTATCACATGGCATCCAAGCCCTGTTATGTTATGAACATTCGTCAACAATCGCTCGTGTGATTCGAGAAGAATCCTGCATCAAATTAGATAGATCTTCCGTCAATAATCGATGCTATAAGCTGCCTTAAACTCACAGACATCACCTAGCAGTGTACTATAAGTTCATATCCGGCTTTTAGTCGTGGTACACTAGTTCAGTGCGGATATGCTTTTGCACTAGAGAAAGGAGGAGGGGGGGGGGGGGGCGTGTTTATTATTTAAACAATAATTCATATGATAGTATTATGTTCAAAGTGCTGACGCAATATAGTGCGTAAATTACAGCTAATACTTAACTACGACAGCGCTTAATTGCAACAGGGCGGGTAATTTCATAAATGCTCATAAATCGATCAGGTGCATTTGATAAATATACATTTTGGTCATGGTCGTTGTGCTTCATTTGGCAATAATATTAGATAAACTTCATTGAT